GTTTTCTTTATATGAAATGCTTTTGAAGACCTAAACCTGTCAAGTAGAAAGAAAGAATAGAATTCATTAGCCTAACTTCAGAGCTCTCTACTACAGACATTTACATCTGAGCATGTCACGTAGACATTCTTTCTATGGAAAGCAGAAAAGCAGGCACTTCTAGGATAAACTGTATCATAAGCTCTGAAACACATCTAAAATAGGTCAGAAGAGTTGTTCTCTAATCAGTCTGGAGAAATGAGCACTCCCAGAGAATATTAATTATCTAGACAGAAGTCTCTATCATAAGTCTCTAAATTTTCGGAGGTGAATCTCCTCAAATTATCAGGTGCAGTACTTTCAGGTATGCACGTATTTCTTTAAACTGTAGTTGTTCTTGCTAAGCTTCTCCTGAGCTATTAGTGATAAAAAAGCTGAGGTGAAATTAGAAACACACCAATACCTGAAATAAACAAGACCTATTCTAGCATTACTACAGAATAGAAATGTAGAGGCAGCCATCAGGACATAGGTCTAGGAGTAGAGCAACCTGACATTGCCTATCAGTTCTGATACAGACATCTCACAAGTAGAGGGAAATTGCCCAGCCCCTCTGGGTTTTTTGCTGTCCATCCATTAGGTCCAGCATACTTTGGCCTACTTAGGTGGTTGCTGATAATTCTTTGTACTAAGTTTGAACACAGACAAATCAAAATAAGGAGTTAAAGGTACTTCCAAAGCTGAATCTGCCTTTCACTGGCTTCTTAATAGTCACTTTAATACAATGTTACCTATTTTTTAAGGGTTTCTGTCTTTAGCTGCGCTGAGAAAGACTCTCATGGACAAAAGGAAGGGAACTAACGGCCAGTGTCTCAGCACTCACACTCATAGAATCATAGAATTGTTTAGGTTGGAAAAGACCTTTAAGATCATCATGCCCAACCATTACCCTAGCACTGCCAAGCCCACCACTAAACCACGTCCCTAAGCACCCCAGCTACCCGTCTTTTAAATACCTCCAGGGGTGGGGACTCAACCACCTCCCTGGGCAGCCTCTTCCAGTGCCTGACTACCCTTTCAGTCAGTCTAATGTTCTTGCCCATCCGTTCACCAAGAGTAAGGTTCACCAAAGAGTAATTTTATTCATGGATAAGGGAGAGGACCTTCCTACATACTCAGGAACCTATGAAATTGTGGGCTAAGCACGATCAAATGCACAAACTCAGCAAAACAGGAAGAAATATTCCACCAATAAACCTCTGCTAAACTTGTAACAGTCATATTCAAAAAAATTCAGACAGCGACAGTTTGGTGATTGTAAAGTGCTTCGTGATTCTTATCAGGAAGCACCACAGAAGAGCAATAAAGGGTAAATGGTTGAGAGCTGTACAGGGAAAAGTGCAGAACCATACAGTACCTCAAACAGGGAACGCTAACATTTGTAACACCAAGAGATTTCCATCCCCCCCCACGGAAGCACTGGGAGAGGCGGGACACTTACCTTCTCTCTTTTGATAGCTCAGGTTTGAATGCACGGTGGGGAAATGCAATTCAGAATTCAAATTCATTGAATTTGTAACAGAAAGCAAATCGGTGGGGAGAACAGCACAGAAAGTGATATGCAACAGCAGTGCTCAGTGCTACCTCGGCTGTCTTTGTCCACATCCTACACCCTGAGTCAGCTCAGACACAGACTGGGTGAGCTAGGCAAATCTGTTTCCACCCATTATCTGCTGTACAGAGAAAAGGACTAAGACATACAAGGCTGACATGTAAATTCATGAGGCATTCTGAGTTTGGATTGGTGTTGCTTAGACACAGGATCTTGACTTAGGACTCAAAGACTCTGCTGCTATTGTTCTGCCTAGCAAGATGGAGCAGGTCATTCCACTTTCTTGTGTTTCTCCATCTGCAAAATCGGGGAACGATAATGATGTCTGTGCTTTTGAGATCTTCTAGTAACAAGTGCTATTCAGAAGTTCAGTACGGCCAAGGCAGAAGAGCAAACCTGCAGACCAGACGACAACTGAAGACATTCAGGAGGGTAATACACATGTGCCTGCTCCTGCGTTTGGATCTCACAAGAGTTTGGGACACTGGCAGAAAAGCAGGAGGCAGTGAAAAGCTTGGTTGTTTTTCCGAAAAAAACCCAGGGAAGTCAACACTGCAGAGGAAAAGGCACGGTGCAGGTGCCTACCTCATGCCCACAAAAGCTGGAGACAGCTTATTTTGTTGAATTATTAGTGACGTCCAAAACACTTTTATAGCTTTGAAAAGCAAAATCTGAACGTTTAGGTTAAGGTAAGTAACTAGAGGAGCAGCTACTTTTCAGATTGTTGTAGACTCTGTTAATATTATAACAACAATTATTTTATATTTTGCAGGGGAGGGGGAGGAATTGCGTTCATTTTTAGGCGAGTCGTGCTGGAGAAACTGGAGTGTAAGCCTGCAGAAATGCATTCAGGGTTGCTGCCATTTAGCTCGTACCAACGTGTTTTTGTAATACAAGCCACTCTTAAAAATTTTTGTATTAGCCAGCCTAACTAATTCTAGCAAAGAGTTGGCGTGGCTGTTCATCTAAGTTGATGAGATACGTTACCCTTCACGCTCCCCAGGTGCACGGTACGCTGCACTTTCTGTACACGCAAGGAGCTGACTGTCCTAAATTCTGTCTGGCTATTTTCTGTTTCCCACGCACGACTCGAATGCACCGTGCTGGCAGAGGTGCCTGCTGCGCCGCCGAGGGCAGCCGGGCTGGGAGCCCTCCTCTCGGCCCGGGCACCC